TGCCTCATATGAATATTGACATCCTCTCATGCTTGAAAAGTGGCCCAGTTTCCACAGGGACATCTTATGATCTTTAAATTTCTTTTCTTTAGAGAGTTGGAAACCTCAGTACACCCACAGTGTGCCAGCAGATGAGAGTGAGAAAGTGGAACTGTCCCCAAACAGAAAGGGAAGTGGTTCCAGGTATTTGGGAGCCAGGCTAAGCCAAGCGTAAAGAGAACAGTCATAAGAAAGCTGCAAAAAGAAGCAAAAGTTGAAGCATCTCCTCTGCTCTGGAGTGCTTCAACCATAAGATGAACAAAAAATCTCTCAGGATTTGGCTAAAGCCAGAGAAGTGCATTTTGAAAGTGTAGGATCTACTCAACATATTGTGTAAGGAAACTTTTTTTGTGCAGGACATTTTTTCAATATAAAACAAAAACTAGCAGGAATGATTACAGTTCTTAGTGTAGGTAATGCTTCAATACAGATAAATTTCTCTCCTGGTCCATGACTCCATTTCTCTTGGCAGTGTGTTAAGCAAAAAAACAAAGTTCCAGTTCTTGTCATCAAAAGGAAGCATTGTCTGGACTCCTGCATCTCAAACATGACTCATTTTGAGGCTTTACCTTTCTTTTAGAGTAAGCTGAACAAGCTAGGGATGCTGCACTTTCACAAGGATTCATCTATGTCAGCTCTCACCAAGATGCTGGTGACTGGCCTCGTAGCCTTTCAGAAGGTCTGACCCCTCATTCAGGTGTGTTGCTGATGCCAAATCCCCTTTCTGAAAGCTAGCTCAGACTGGGTACACTGAGATGTTTCTGGAAAGTTGGCTTCCTTGTCCCCCCAGAGAGCAGCATCTCACAGAAGACAGAAATAATCTCCCATGGTTTTTGTCTTCAGTGGAGAGTGAAGAGGCACAGTGCTGTGGGAAAAATGAAATGTCTTTTTTGTCTCCCTGTGATTTGAAGTTGGTGGCAAGAGGTGTGCCTTGGGTTGGGTTAACACTTCAAGGTGAGAAAATCAGTTTAAGATGGTGAGGTTGTCCCTGGGGCAGAAGTGATAAGAATGGGCAAACAGAAATAGTTCTCCAGCCTCTTCTGTGAAACTGGAGGTTTTACTTCCTCTAGGATTGAAGGGGATAAATCTTTTCTAACAAGTCAGAGGAGTCTATGAAAAGTCAAGACTTTTCCACTTGACTTTTCAATTTCTTTCAATACATTTTTTCCTCTCTCTCTCTAATCTCTTCTTTCTCTTGCAATGAACTTCCATTGAGGTAGGTGCAGTGGCAATATCTAAGCAAAGGTGAGGATATAGAAACATTTGTAATGTTAAGTAACATGCTTCCTGTTATTTTGTCCTTCATTGTTTTTACTCTCTGTGATGACCACTTACAGCCTAATTAACATAGGCATTATTTCCATACAAAGTAGTGATAGCAACAAAGATGAACAAATCTCTTTTTAAGCTTACTTGTTTCTAAGAAGGCCTTTTTTATACCATCCTTACCACTTATCTGACCAATAAATCTGAAAATACATGCAATGGTATTTACTGTGTTGTTACATGTATCTCTAAGCAGATGGTGAGCCAGTACCAAAGCTCGCATTTTTACACCTTTATGCAGCATCTGGGGAGCTGGATTAAATTCCTGCCCATCTTGGGGTTTCACACAAACCTCTGCCTCTACGGCAAGTGCCTTACAACTGCTGCCAATCCCAACCACATTGTTTTAAGGTATTTTTCTTCATATAGAATGAATAGAAGAATGCTGACAACACTTCTTCCACCTCCCTGTCACCCCTGCCCACAAGTAATATTTCCAAAGAGCCATGCCAAGGTTTTGAGCCATCGTTGTGTGTGTTGCTGGTGTCTCAGTCACCTGGGTGCCCTCATGCTTTTTTCATACCAGGTGGCCCAGTTCAGCTGATATTGCAGCATCCCTGGGCACTGTGTGTGGGCTGTGCGGTGAGGCAGATGTAGGGAGCTGGGGGTGCTGCAGGATGGAGCCCAGGGCAGAGGGCTGAGCCCTCTTTGGTCACTGACATGGAAAAAGGAGTGGGAAGCACATCTCACTGACCTAGGACAGAAGCTGAGCGTGTAGCAAGACTCCGCATGACATTAAACCATCTGAAGGGCCGTTGTTAATCACCATAAGGAGATCAAGCAGGTCTGTCCTGTAACCAGGGCTAGCAGCAGGCTGCGTGAGACTCGGGTGACCCTGAGACACCAGGAGCTGCTTTGACTCATTCCCATGCAGAGCAGGAAGGAGAGGGCAATGGCAAAAGGGTCTGAACTGCAGCCTGTTTGAGAGACACAGAAGCCCACTTGCCATGGCCACAAAGAGTCAGTGCCTAATACTGTGGGCATCCTTGCTGTACCATAGCCACTGGCGGGGTGAGGGTCCATGCCAGCCCATAGGCTGTTCCACCCGCTCTTGCAGTTTGTCCTGAGGCTCACTCATCGCTCCTGGACGAGTGCTTGCTGGCCCTATAAGCATCCCCTCTTCGAAGCCTGTGGGGTTAAATGTGGGAGATGGGTGTTGCCAGCAAAAGTGAAACCCACTTGTGGAGTTTCCTTGGGAAAATCCTCCCTGCTGAGGAGTTCAGCAGTGAAGCAGCACTGAAACCTACTCATATTTCTTTGGGTAACACCCAGGCCTGGGGAAAATCTCCCAGGAGATCACCCTCAAACACACACACACATACACACACAGACACACACCCCTCATCCCAAAGCTCTGCCCTTCCACTTGCCACCCAAGTGTAGAGGGTTATTAGGCATAAAGGGTTCTTTCACTGAAATCTGACCTGCATGGGGCGGATATCTTCTTCTGGATTCATTACCATAGCTCCCATTTTTTAGAGACAAGTAGATATACGATGTGTCTGACATCTGTTTTTGAATGAGATGAATTGCATCTTCAATACATTTGTTTCTCAAGTGGATCTGACATCCTTCTGTAGCCAGTGAATTCCTTCACCTCACACAGCCACCTTTGTCATCTCTGTAGCCTTCATTGCCACTCCTCTCTTGCAGCATCCACAGTTTTCATCATCTTTCCTCTCCTTTTTATCACTTTGTTTTCAGAGGCCTCAGATATGGGTCATTCCTTTCCATTCATGTGGTCCTTCTTTCTCCTGCACAGTACCTCATCGTGTAACTCTCCCCTCTGCCCGCCTTGGAACCTGTGTTTCTCTATGATGCTGTGTCTTCTACTTATTTTCTCTGGCATAATGTATCACAATTCCCAATCTTCTCTTGCAGTCTCTCGTCCCCATATCCTCTCTTTATGCCTCTCTCTTCCCCTGGGCAATGGCTTGCTGCCTCTTTGTTGAACTTGATTCTTTGGGAAACACCCGTGTTAGCTCCCTCAAGCTCTGCCTGCACAGCAGGCTCCAGCACAGCATTCTATTACCTTGCTTGCCTCTCAGCCAGCCAACAGTTAAGCACTGATGGACAGACCTTCATGGGCAGAAGAAAGAGCTTTATATTGGAAAGATACTTAGCATTTTATAAGGGAAGATAGGCCTAGGGATGTGCAGTCAATTCACCTCCCTGGGATTCACTGAGCTTCCTTCTCTCTATGTTCCCCACTGCAGCCAAGGCCAGGCACGAGAGTACCCATTGCATGTCCCAATGTCCTTGACCAAACACAGGTCTCCTCAGGGCCCTTTCTCCCGCAGCTCCTGAATGCAGGGATCCCTTTATAACCTTATATCCACCACACAGGAATAGAATGCAGGGTAGTTAAGCTGAAACCCTGCTCTGAAACCCTGGAGTGTGATGCATAGCAGTGAGCTCAGCTGGGGAGCTCAACAAGTTTGTGGCCTGTTCTCCCATCTAGTGTTGGACTTCTTCAGATAAGAGTGGACCTTCTTTCTAGGTAGTCCCCTGCTCCCCATGCTCCAATGAGCTCTTTCCTTTCTGCTGCTTCAGATCCAGTGATGGAAACTGGTGGGGAGAGAATGACTTCAGGCTGCAGGCTGTTTTCCCTTGTAGCTGAAGGGATGCTGTATTTATTACCTCTTTTCCCGAGAAAACACAATTCCTCAGGCTGATTGCACTCTGACACTGTCCCACAGTTATAAGAATGGCTGACAGATGCACTTTCAGCTTTTGGGCAGTATTCAGGCCATTTTGGCAGTGAGATACAATAGGCCAAGGAGCCACACCGGTTGAGAAGAGCAGTCGGGGGGAGACGGCAGTGTTTGGGAAAAGGGTGTTTCCCTAGGCATTACCTCAGAGACATTTGTCATTTATTTCAGATTTAATCAGGATACCACTGGCAGCACAGATGCAGACGAAGTCTCAGCATGGTAAATTCAAAAAACTCCAAGTTTAAATGCATGAGCATTTGCTGGTTTACCTCCAGACCAGAAAGAACAGTGCCTGTTATTTCTTCCTGACACAGGAGGCATTGTAAAGATCTGCAAACAGCCTTTTGCACATGCCAGAGCGTGCATCAAGTGCACTCTGGACATTGGTTCTGTGGCTTTCAGCTTGGGGCTGTCATCACAGTGATGTTTCCAAAAGTGGGACACAACATTGCACTCATCTACAGCTGCCCTGCTCTCAAACGCGCACAGACATCTGCAGGAGAAGGGAGGTACCCCTCTGGTAGAGGCATCAGCCGGATGGCAGCATGCCTTTGACGGAGAGGAAAGGAATGCAGCATCTCCTGGTGACTGAGAAAGCTTGGGTGGTTTTGCACATAGGAAGCTCTTTTAAATGTGTTTCCTCCAACCGCCTGGCCTTTTGTTTTTCAGCCATGCTTGATGCTGGTGTTGGAAAGCTGAACTCCCCAAAAGTGAACTTCCTCTCCTACTATAAACTGACCCTTGGGGTTGCTATAGTGACTGCAGAGCAGCCAGCAGGCTGTATAAACACTCCCTCCCGCTTCCCATCACACTGGGCCTGAGAGGCTGAGCCACGGGATGTGCGCAGCAACCTGGATTATGCGGGTGGTTGTGAAATGCAAAACCGACAATTTCTCTGCTTCCTCCCTGCTTCCCCCACAGGGAGGCAAACCCAGCAGGCTGGTAGCAGGCACAAACACGCCCGTCCTGACGAATTTGGGCACATGGCATGGTACCGCAGAAACCAAACCCAGACATTCACCTGGGGAGCTTGAGCAAGATGTGGAAATATATGGTGCAACTGGATTCTCTGCAACATCTGATTCCTGTGGCCTCACTAACTGTTGAGCTTCCAGCTGTGAGGGGGGAGCGGTTTGGTACATACAATGTCACAGCTCCTTCTATGTAATTAATTGCAACAATCAACCGAGTGTGAAATCCATCAGTCTCTGGGTCCTCTGTTGCTCGCTTTGATGCCAGCTCTTCTTCTTTCATTTTCTTTTTTTTTTTTTTTAATGCATTTCATTAAAGTCTGTCCCTGACTCTCTGAGACACTTTCCAGACATTGATGTTTGTGTGTGACTGTATCCATCCCCATAAAACCAGGTCAGGTGTTTCAAAAGCAGCAGCCTGTGAGACAAATTGAAGCACACGGGGAGGTGTTTCCCAGGCAGAGCAGGGTATGCATCCCCTCTGGCCACTGCAGATGTTCTTCCAAACTGGCAGGTACAGCTTAGCCAGGGATTTTGTGAGAGGTGAGCTAAACCACCCTGCCAGGAGGAGATAATCAGCTCTGCTCTCACTGCAGTGGGATGCAACTTGATGGGTTATCTTCAAGAAATAAGGTTGCTGTCCCACCACAACAGGCCTGTGACTGCTCCAAAAAGCACAAAGCACATCATCTCAAAGGTGTGTAAAATAAAGCATCTGCTTCATGCCGTCAGGAGGGCCCATTCAAAAGTGCCAGGCATCCTGCAAAACACCCACCTACTCCTACTGCCAATACACACTTTTTGTTTTACTATTAAGAGATTTCCTGGCACAAGGATGGATGGACTCACGTGATCCCATTTTTATGTGTTAAGGGTGTCACTAACCAAACTGATCGATAGGTACCTTTGCTCAGACACGTGGCTGTACAGTTGCAAGCTGTCCGGGGATTCCATGAATTCCCATCCTTCCTGCCACATTTAGAAATGTACACAGTCTCTGCTAAGCAAGGTACTGGTAGAGGCAGAAGAGAAGAAGGTTTCTGGAAGAGTGCTTGTCTGTAATCCCAAACATGTCCCTATAATCCCAGCCTGTGACTCAGAGCCAGGGGGATGCAGAGGGTCAGTGTGGCCTGCTCATCCACTGCAGTGAGTCATTATGCCCCAAGGAGAAAAGGAGCCTTAAAGCCTCACTCTGATTGCTGTGAATGATGGCAGTGGGACAAGTTGCACAAAGTATGCTAAATCAAAGGCAATTCTGGCACAACTCGTTACAATACAAAATAGGGACCGGCCCTATAGTGTCTCACTAAACGGATGGCAGGTGCTGAGTCTGATTAAACAGGGTTTTCCGAATCACTTGCAGAGACAAATGAGAGGCAGGCAGAGGCATAAAGCAACACACAGTGCCTTCTAGATCTCAATGGGTTTGCATTTCTCTGTTCACTCTGTACCTGCCTTATTACAGAATTTAAAAATAAATCAGCTGAATTAGTTGGTGTAAGTACATGGCCTTTCCTGCTCCTGTCAAAGGAGTGCCCCAGTGTCGAGCAGTGCTGCCAGCTTGCCTGAGCTTGATGCAGAAAACCTGGTGAATCGGTAATGTGACAGTGACACTGATTCTCCCTTTACCCCTGAAAATAACATCACAGAAATTAACAGCCTGCAAATCCCTTATTCAAGTAGGGGCTTAGAAAGTGCGAAGTGGAGCACATGCATTTGTGAAGTAGCTGGGCGGAAGGAAATCAGGAAGAAGGAGGACAGGCAAAGCAGATCTGCTTTGACAACCTTGGGAGCTCAAAGATGGTTGGGCAGGTGAGTTTATCGGTTTTCCTCAGAAGAAATCTTAAGCCAGCTTGGCTCTGATGAGGGCTATTACAGACTCAAATGACGTGGCATCTGAATTATGTCCATAGAAGCAGTTAACAACCTGGATGCTTTACAAGTTACCAAAACCTCTGCAAACCTCAAGAAACTGGAGGTCTTTTGTGCAATTTTTGATAATTCTCCTTGGAAGGCCAAATTTGTGGGCCCCACAGACAATAGCACCACTTACTTATCTGAGCCCAGCTGCCCAGTGCCAGGGCTGCATCTCAGCTGAATGCCTGGCATAACAGGAAGCACAAGAAGGCACCACCTGAAGTCACCTCCGGTCTTGATGTTAGTGCAGCACTAAGGAAGCCTGAAGGAAGACACTGCAAGGGACCTTTCAAATCTTTCCTGCATCTGTGTCGGATTCAGCTGCAAATGGTCCAGGGTTGCCCTTTCCAGATGTGGACTGACACCGTGGCTGTCCAGGGAAGCTGAAAATTGCTGGGGGAGGGAAGGGGAAAGGATTATTAGCACAGCTCAGCTTAAAAATGAGGGGAGGTTTGTGAAGCTTCTCCTAGGTCTCCCTACTGTTGGGAGGGTGTTCTCAGAGGCGCCCCTGGCTCTGGGCTGTGAGTGGCCGGTCGGTGCTGCGGTCGGCTGCTGTTGCCTCCCAAAGCCGCAGCGGCATTGTTGAGGTGCAGACGTGCAGAACAGCTCACGCCAAGGCTGCACACTCACAGGTGATCTTTTCCTCTGTACATTTTCCAGCGGAGCTGGCAGCTGCTCCTGCAGTGTGCATGCTTCATTGGCTATCCAAAGAAGGAACTGGGCGGGCGTTGATCCAATTGAGGCGGTTTCAAGGAGTGAAGGCAGGAAGGAAAATTACCAACTTTGACATATGTTGCTCCCTGCAGGTCTCTCTTATTATAGCCTGGCAGAATGTCAAGGTGCACAGACACGACCCAGAGCTGTAACACATGATGGCTGCTTTGCCTCCTGTCCCACCCCTTTCACACAGGCAGCAGTAGCAAAACCATTTCTGGCATACCAGGAAATCCTGGTTCTCTCTATTATCAAGGAGGGAGTGAGCAGTTATACAACTTTGAGCTGCCATCAGCAAGACCCGTGGGAGGGAGGGGGGGAATAGTTCACTTGGAAAGGAATGCTGCAGTGTAGGGCAGTGGTTTTGACATGCTGGAGTGAAACTTGGCATAAAGGAACAGAGGGAATTCGTTTGCCAGGTAGACGTGGCACTTCAGAAAGAGATTAAGTGAAATGGCAGTGGAAACCTTGAGAGATCTTAAGAGGTGGCTAGTTAGCACAGGGCATGTATCTGCAGCCCTTAGTGTGGGTTTCACAGCGCTGGGGGTCCACAGCTTTCTAACAACTATTATTTACCTGACTCTTTAGCTCTTTTATCTTGCCAGCACACATGAGAAGCCAGCTGTGTGCATAGTCCTACCCGGGGTAGGGCCTTCAACTTGACAAGAAGAAATGAAGACCCAGGGTTCAGTGGCCTGAAGTGTTTGTCAGCCATTTGTGATGGCAGAAATCTACTTACTTTTCCGAGAATATTTAACCACTCTAGTGTGCCAAGAAGAATGTAGTGTGGCATAGCAGCCATCCAGAACAATGGCAAATATTTGTTCCTGGTAAAAATTTGCTTGCCACAAGTCTTCATTTACAGCATATCTCCTGTTTCGGAGCAGATGGGAGGGAGGTCTGAGATGTCCCTCTGAAATGTCAATCTGAAAAGGCTGAGTCTTAAAGACAGCACTTATGTGGAAAGGCTGGGAGAAATACACAGGTGTATCAAGAAGCAATAGGTGTGCATTGGATTTACACCTTTCGTTGTCCCTCCTGAAAGTCCTTGCCAAGGGTTTGACATCTAAACAAACATGTTAAACCTTCCTCTTTGCAGATTCTTTCTGCTGGGGCAAGTTCCCCATTGCTCGCTTTCACACTGTGTTTTCTTTCAGCCCTTGTTTTTTAGTCTGTCAGCACAACCTTGAGAGAAAGGACTTTGGCTGAGAGCTGAACACACAGTACCAGCTGTACTGATTTCCATCGCCTGGTATGTAGCAGTGGACTTTCACACTGTGCCTTCTTTGCCTCCCCCAGTTAGGCTGAAATCTCCCACCACAGTTTCTGCTTTTCTTTGTGGTGGAATTGACTTGGCCATGAGAAGCAGTGGATTTAGGCTCCTGCAGCCCTGCTGTCAGCACAGGAGACCCTTGGCAGGGTGCAGGCAGCCATGTGGGATGAGGGGCTGAAAGCATCGGAGGAATGTTGATGTTCCAACAAACTTTGGGATGAACTAGGGAAGGTGGAATGCATGATTGGATCAGAGAAGAGGAGGAAGTGAGTGGAAAAGGGAGATACAGTGTGACAGATGGGAAGGAGAGCAGAAGGGCAGTGTGAAATCACACAGGAGATGGGCAGCATTTGAAGAATAAGGACAATAAAAGTTGAGGGACTGTTATAAGTGTCTAAATCTTTGGGGAGCTTGTAAGAAATTGGACATCTCTCCTCCCCTCTGATTTGGACTGTATTTTGAAAAGAAAAGAAACAGAACAGTTATTTTAGTGACTTTTTCTTTTTGTGTGTGTGTGAAATACTCAAGTTGTTGCACCATGATTTTTTTCCTTTACATTCCTCTGGTTATAGCAGTGAAATAGATTAAAACCAAAATATTTTGTATTTTGTCATATGCTTTGCTGCCCTGTCCTTTTCTCCTTTCTGTGACTTTGACAAGGAGAGGTGCAAAGCTGAGATTTCTCCTCTTCCTTGGCAGGGGTTTTACCCTGACCCATGTAAGGCAATGTTGCTACCTGGCAGTTATGATGCTCTTTAACCTTAAACAAAGGTTCACGTGAAACACAGGCCTTTTGTGTGGATAGAGGGAAATAGGATGAAGAAATCAGATAATGCTAGAATAGCAGCATGCCTGGAACAAAGATTTGGAAGAGTAACGTGGGAAGGGGATGCTACAGCCTCCTCCTCAAATATTCTCCAGGTGCTGGGACATGATCTAGAAAGTCTTCCCTGTCCTAGTTTTACTCAGATGTAAGGTCTCTTCATCCCATCATATGGCTTGCAGATACTGGTCACCAACAGCTCCTTTCACCTGCTTCCCCTTTGCATGCCTTGGAAAAGGCTCTAAAACCGTATTTCTGCCGTCTCCTCTCTTGCTACTATTTGTTCTTGCAGAGTGTACCTAGCACACCTATTTTCTCTGGCAGCACTTTTTTTGTATCCCAGGGGACTTGTAAGAATTAGGGTCGGCTTGACATGAGTGGAGTACTGTACAGAGATATTTACAGCTGTTTGCAACGCTTGTGTTGAGTATGAAACCAGCAGCAATTAGGATCCAGGCCAGTGCCTTCAGTGAATAATGGTCTTGGTTACTTGGAAATATCAGATGGCTTCAGCTTTATGCAGTTGCTACGAGGAAAAAAAGTTAAGTAAACAAAGAAAA